ATGAACTCAAATATGCTGTGAGGAAATTGACAAGATTGGAAGACAGGACAAAAAAACAAAGCACAATAGTGTTTGGCCTTTGCATGAGATTATGTCTTTAATATAATTAACACTGGACCCCATCACTGACTAAATTCCAGTAGTTTTCCAACAAGGGTGTTGTCTGGCTATCAGATTTCTATCTTCAATTCCAACTTTATGTCATGGATTTCTTACCTCATATCTTTTTCCTCAGAAAGCTGGTCACCATTTCAGATGTGTGTAAATTCTTGTGGAAGCTGAAATAATGAGCCCTAATACTGGAATCTCTATTGCTTTTAAAGAAAAAGACAGAATGAATTTAATTACAAGAGCAAAACATTGCCTTTACTACTCCCTAGAGGTCCCAGATTAAAAAGGAAAGTTCTTACAAATTCCAATTCATTTAAACTGCTTCATAGATCTATCTCAGTAATTTGTTTTAATGTCCTGCAAACAGGTTTAGAAACATGTTAAATAAAATAAAGTTAGAGGGAGAATGAAAAGAGGATTTCTAGAGCCTCCCCAAGGAGCAATGGAGAAATATTTAACTGCTGAATCAATTTTAAAGCATTTTGAAATCTTCATAATAGCTTGATGATAAGTGTTGAATCACTCACAGTGACTTCCATTTGCAGTAAATCTTATGAAATAAAGTGAGAAGACTGTAAAATGTATTTTAAAGCCTGTTATGGAAGATAGAAGTGGTGTCCATTTAGTGATACACAAGGTGCAAAAGCAAACCTGACAAAATATTGTGAATTCAGTTAAAATACTAATTTTGTTCCAGGCAGTGTGATCTATGCTTCAGGGGACACAAGCTAATTTTTCTTGTCCTCAAAGACCTCACAGTGAACTGGTGATAATGAAAGAGGGGCCTGGGTCAGGGGCAGAGGTGGAAGTGAACAGACATCTGTTTGTCAAGAGACAAGGTAAGGTAAGTGCTCAACAATTAAAATAAATCCAGTGTTCAATAAGCAATGTCCATCATTTGCTTTATTCATTCATTTATATTAATTGACTACTTGTAATATGTACTATTAGATAGAAGGGTATTACTTTATCAACCTTCCTCTGAAAGGTTCTAGTGGAGAAGAAAAAAGCAAGAATACATCCTGGTCGTAGAGCGTGATGAGGTATAGATGAGGTAATGTAGGGGTACAGGTTTGTACGTGTGTGAAGGGAAGGACTAGGAGTGACAGGAAATGAGGCTGGAATTCTTGGCAGGGGTCGTCAGAACATGGACCGCCTTGTGGACAGACAAGGGTCACGGGACTGTAGGTCCTGTGGTGGAATGATATTGTAAAGCGTGACCACATATGTCCCCCTCTGCAAACAAACCACTCCTTTTTATGCCATGATCCTTCCCTAGGTGCTCCTAGATCTGGGGCCTTTGAGAATTCCTTTGCCCCCTGAAAACAGGACACGGGTAGACATGAACCCATGTATATGATTATTATTGCTTTTAAGTGAGAAAAAGCACCTCTCATGGGTATAAGATATAATTTGAGAGACTACTAAACCAGATTAATGTGGCAACGAGTTTTAAAAATCTCTCCCTGGCATGAGAGCGGTGTTACCGGGGGCCATGACCAGAGAGTGAGCACGGCCACTGTGCAGCCTGCTCCGAGGAGTTGTGAGGGCTCAAAGCAGGAATCCTGACAACAGTATGCAGCGTTAAACCCAATCTTGCCTTGGCAAAGGAAAACATTTTCTGTGGTGATGTTGAACTTTCAGAAGCAGAGGTAGAATAGCACAGTGAAAATGATGCAGAGAATAAATTGACTGGAGTCCTCGCTATGGTCTGAGTGTTTATGTCCTTTCAACATTTATATGTTGCAATCTTAACCCCTAAGTTGATGGTATTAGAAGCCAGGGCCTTTGATTAGGTCATGATGGGAGACCTCAAAATGGGATTAATGCTCTTACAAGAGAAACTCCAGAGAGCTAGCTCACTCATTCACCACGTGAGAACACAGTGAGAGGTCTGCAGTCTGCAATACAGAAGAAGGCTCTCAGCAGAACCCAAGTATGTTGGCACCCTGATCTTGGACTTTGAAGTTTCCAGAACTATAAGAAATAAATGTTTGTTGTATATAATCTGCCCAGTGTATGGTATTTTGTTATAGCAACCCAACAGACTAAAATAGTCCAGAAAAATAAATGAGTCAGACCAGAAGAAAAGGCAGCAACAGTTGGAAACCCAGATCCTAACTGAATTTCAGAGTGCTGGTTTTCCTGCTCTAGAAATATTCTCCCATCTCTAGATAGGTAAGTGAATTAGTACAGAAATATGATGAACCGATGTTGAACAAACCTGTAGGATATTAAAGTGCAATTTTCAGATCCTGATGATCTGTATCTTTTGTTTTAGATTTCCATGTTGAACCCAATGACTACCTTACCAATAAAGTTCTGTCAAAACCTTACAAGATAAAATCAGACCCAGATAAGGCAGAAATTTTTGCTTTGAAGGCTTTGAAATAGTTGACTGTGATGGGTGTAACACTAATTGGAAAAAAAGGAAAATCATTACAGCTAAAACAATCAAGAAAAAACAGAAACGTGGTGTCTGGGCACTGTTAGAACAATTACTGAACAAGTTTGGAGTGATTCATTTTTTAAAAAAATTAACTTTTTAGCCTGCTGATAGCATCTGGAGAGGAAGAGTCACTGGATGAAGGTTCAGAATTCACATCGGCATTGGAATAAGGATTTCACTTCTGGAAAATATGATTCCACATACTGTGTATCACTTTACTGGAAAAGCCATAGACGTGCTGATAATTTTGAAGAAGGTGAGAGAGGAGAAGAATAGGTAATAGAAAGTGAAAGGAGGAAAAAATTGGATAATGCCGAAGTTGACCCCAATTGTAATTTTTTATCTGTGTATCTTTCATACATTTCTAGAAAAAAGCTACCCAACCCACTGAACGCATGCAGCAGGAAGCAAGTACTCCGCAGTGAGGCTTGAACATGTAATGGATATGTCAGGACACCAGGCTTAGTAGGCAGGGGATTTGGTCATTGCTGCAGCAAATTCTTATTGACGATACTTAAAAATAACTTCTTTTCAAGTGAATGATTTTCATTTTAACTTCTTCCTTTCTTTTAAAATTTTGTTTGTCCCTCACATGTTATCAGAACTAAGAAGAAAGCTCTTACAGCATGGGTACCCGTCAGCTTGGCGATCTTTCCAGGCCCTGCACTGAGGGAGGACCTGATAGAAGCCATATTGAGGTTGGGCGTGGCAGGGAGGAGCAGTGGCTGGGGAGAAGGTAGTATTGGAATGGTCACTAGACAAATAGGGAAGATGATATGGTAGCATGCTTCAGAGCCTCTTAGAATCTTTTGTCACAGTCCAGCAAAAGAATTTAGTCTTTGGTTCTCTAGAAAAATTTCACACATTTTGCTTCCAGCAACTAAAATCTGCTTCATGTAAAAATAGCTTCAAATATATATTTACACTGAACATCTCAGAAAATCCAAGTTGAGTAAATTCATGTTTTTCCTTATGTTTTTACACTGCACATTTTTAATTTTTCAGAGAATGGGGTGGGTGGGGGAGAGTGGACACACTGGCTTTTATGTGTTACTTTGAGAGTTTATCCTCATATGTATTTAAATCTTGTTCGTAGGTACTTTCACTTAGGCTATTGCTAATCTCCAAGATTTCTGAAGCTCTGTTTGTGACTCAAGGTCTGGTAACTTAGTCCGAAAGGAAATGATATCTATTAATCATTGCTAGGGGCCTGTGCAGAAAATCCACATCTTCTTGTGAATAGCTATTGAAGGAGAAGAATTGTTTTCATAATATACAGGCTTGATTTTGCAGTAAAAAAATTAAATGGGCTGCAACCAAGAGACAAGTTTTATTAGTTTTTTTTTTTTTATTTCTCAACTAGTGTTGAGAAGCTCAGAGTAGACAGTATAAATTTCCAATTTTGTACCATAATTTGAAGTTCTTGTTTTATCAGTAATACTTCCATTTCTCAACTCCACTATTTTACTTTGTTCTAAAAGCCCTGGATTTGGTACAACCTGTTTCTCAATTGCCATGCAGGATGTTCAAATGTATGGCAACAGTCCTTAGGCAGGCACCAGGTAAGCATCAACATCATCACCAGGCACACAGAGAACGCTCCAGCTTTGTCTTACAATAAACATTTGTAACATAATGCAGTGTTTTCAATGTGTATGGGATATTTAGAATATCTTGTTAAATTTGTAAACATAAATCCAGCACAAACAAACAAAAACAAAATCAGGCAAAACTGGAATGATGAACCTTCTATGGGCTAGACAAGGGAGAAGAGTTGAGGAGGTTAAGGATAGAGTTGGTTGGGTGTGAAGGTCTCTGAGAAGGAGCCTTGTGTGCTCAATAAAGGAAGTGGGATGGACTCCCCCATAATATGAGCATCTGTTTTCGCTCTCATTTCCTGTCTGGAACCACATAAGGAGGCCACTTCACAGTATTATGGGGGCACCATGCCACTCTGTCAGGTGAGTCATAAAATAGAGTGTTGAGGGCAGAGGGTTTGATGACTGGGGTGGTGTAGGGTGCTAATTTTCTCCCATAGCTTTAAGGAGAACACATCTGTTAGGTGAGAGAGAATGAAAGAGAGAGAGAGAGAGAGAGAGATTGAGGCTAAGTAGACCTGAGAAAGTCTTATATTCTTGATGAGGGACACTACAGAGGAAAGAGGTGTGAACCATAAGACCAAAGACCAGGTGGGAACTTGGCTGCCTCAGTGAATGCCAATGTGGATAGACGACACGTCTGAGCATTGAGTGGGACTGGAATCTCACTAGCTGGCAGCACAGTGTAGGCCCGGCATAAGTAGGAGAGAATAGTCTACTTCCAATCTCCCACTTCCCACCTTTGCTGCTGCTGCTCCTCCTCCTCCTCCTCCTCCTCCTCCTCCTCCTTCTTTTCACTTTCTTCTTTTATTAGAAAACAGACCCAGGGCATATCACAGGGCAAAAATATAGAACGCTTCATGAATTTGCCTGTCATCCTTGGGCAGGAGCCATGCTAATCTTCTCTGTATGGTTCCAGTTTTAGTACATGTGCCACCAAAGAGAGCACGCCCACCCCTGCTTCTTATGATGACCCTTCGTTGGGAACTTATATGACATTTCTTTGAGAAAAGCAGAAAATGACAAATGCTACACTGGCTGAGTTTAACCTGGAGTGATTGAATTTACTCTTAAAAGTAGTAAAATTTTGTTTTCTGCTTTCAAATAGGACACACGGCACCACCAATTCCCAGAGTACTGTAAGGCCTAGTCTCTTAATAAATTCCTTTTTCTGTATCCCTCATGGCAGTTCTTTTTCTCTGATTGAACCCTATTATAGAAGCTGATGTTGGACATGGTTCTAGAAGAACAGAACCTTAAGGATTGGTGTCCTGAATTGGTTCTGGATTTTCTGGAATTGGTTCTTGGATGTGATTATACTTAAAGGCAGTAATAACCCGGTTTCCGTTGGTTAAAAGAGCACTTGCTTTTCATGGCATGCAGTGGCAAAAGAGTTACTTAAATTGCCATCAGTAGACACATAATCTAATCCCTATGCAAGGCAAAGGTTTGTTTCAGGGCAGTCAGTCATAGAGTTTCAGGTCCTGACCCAGACTTGGAGTGGTTAACTTAAAACTCTGAGTTTGTAATTTTCTTTCCCCTGGTTCTCCAGGTCACTTAGAAGAAACCAAATTTGTACCAAATCCAGGTTTAGTTTCTTCTAAGTGTCCTGGAGAACCAGGGGAAAGCTCTATTATACTCCTTATATAGATATAGGATATATATATATATATAGCTCTATTATACTCCTTATATATATATAGGGGAAAGCTCTATTACACTCCTTATATTAGGATGAGCAACCAGGACTGAGGCGAGTCCTAGAATGCCCAAATTAAGAAAGTCCCAGGGAAACCAGGAAGAGTTTATATTCACTAAAGTGTTCTACAACAACCTTTACTTGATTGCAGAAACTAGTGCCTGCAAGGACTTGGAAGATGCAGTAATAAGGATTTCTACCACAGTTCCATTCAATTCACCTTTTTGGTCTGTTTAGAAGGTAGGCAGATCTTGGAGGATGAAAGTGGATTACTGTAAACTTAATCTGGTAGTGAAACTAGCAGCTGCTTTTCCAGATGAGATTTTGTTGCTGGAGAAAATCAACACACCTTCTGACACTTGGTAATTATTGACGTATTGAATGCTTTTTTTCCCCCCTCTATACTAGTGAATAAAATTGTTAACAGAAAAGAATTTGCTTTGACTCAGTCCCTTCATTATCCTGCCTCAACTACCTATATCAACTCTCTAGCATTTTACCATTATTGAGGTGTATTAGTCATTGGTTCTTCAGAACCAATAGGGTATATATAATACTAGAAGAGATTTATAATGAGGAATTAGCTCACATGATTATGGAGGCTTAGAAGTCCCAAGATCTGCCTCCTGCCAGCTGGAGACCCAGGAGGGCTGGTGGTATATATAATTCCAGTCCGAGTCTGAAGACCTGAGAACCAGAGGAGCCCATGGTGTAAATTCCCTTCCAAGGGCAGAAGAAGACTGATGTCTCAGCTCAGCAGCCTGGCAGGCAGGAAACAAGAAGGAACAATCTCCTTCCTTTGCTTTTTCATTCTATTTTGTTCTTTTTGAAGGCTGTCAATGGATCAGATGAGGCCCGCACATTGGGGAGGGCAATCTACTTTACTGAGTCCACTGATTCAAATGCTAACCTATCCAGAATCACTCTCACAGACACACCCCCAAATAAGGTTTAACCTGGGCATTCCCTGGCCAAGTCAAGCTGACATATAAATTTAACCATCACATGGGGATTAGCAAATTGTTTCTCTAAAGGGCCAGACAGTAAATATTTGGGGCTTTGTGGAACACATTTGGTCTGTCCTTCTTTTCATTTTTCTATGCAACTATTTAAAAATGTGAAAAGCATTCTTTGTTCCCAGGCTGTGCAAGAACAGACTGTAAAGCCAGATTTGGTCCAGAGATCATAGTTTATCAACCCTGCTAACCCATAGGTAAGTGACCTAGTTAATATAACCATATATTTTCCAGATAACTGGAATCTCAGAAAGGTTTAATAACTTACCTAAGGTCACACAGAGAATAAATGTATCTTGGATTTTAAAAAGTTCTTATAAAATTCAAAAATTTCTTTTTTTTAAAGATTTTATTTATTTATTTTAGAGAGAAAGAGCAAGAAAGAAAGCATGTGTGTGTGAGTAGGGGTGGGGGGGCGGAGGGAGAGAGGGATAGAAGCAGACTCCCTATTGAGTGTGGAGCCCGACATGGGGATTAGGGACCCTGAGATAATGACCTGAGCTGAAACCAAGAGGCAGATATTTAAATGACTGAGCTACCCAGGCGCCCCAAGATTCAAAAACTTTTAATCTTTTCATTGCTCCGATTCCTTCTCAGATTTGATCTTTTATGTTGTTCTGTTATCACCAGTGAGGAGTAATCCTAAGTAATAATATAACTTGTTGACAAATTATACTTAGAAAGACTATCTAGCCATTGATTCCACTAAAACAGAAGTCAATGCATTTGACCAACATTTTTCATTATTATGTTAATTAATGCTTTTTCTTTAAAGATTCTTCCTTTGATCAAATTCTTATGAGGTTCTTTTGAGATCTTTTTCAACTAGTCCTTGACATTTTTATTTGTGTTGATCTCTGCATTGTCCAGTTTTAGCAAGAACACTGTGTATCAGTTTAACCAGAATCCCCTATTCTTTTTTTTAAAGATTTTATTTATTTATTTGAGAGAGAGAGAGAGAATGAGAGATAGAGAGCACGAGAGGGGAGAGGGTCAGAGGGAGAAGCAGACTCCCTGCTGAGCAGGGAGCCCGATGCGGGACTCGATCCCGGGACTCCAGGATCATGACCTGAGCCGAAGGCAGTCGCTTAACCAACTGAGCCACCCAGGCGCCCCTGGAATCCCCTATTCTTGATATCTGATTACTGTCAATACCTGATTGGGTCTCTCATCCTCCATCATCCCTCGGGTGATATCTGATCACCATAATCTGCATTCAGCAAGAATCCCATTAGGTCGGTTTAGCCAGAATTGCCCTTATGCCTAATTTTCCATTTTACTGACTCCCTTCCAACCCCCACCCCACTCCTTTGCTATAAATTCCTATTTTTCTTGTATTTAGAGTTGAGTCCCATCACTCTTCCCCACTACAAAACCCCATTGTTGTGGTCCCTAGCACTATCATGATAGTTCTCTTGAATAAATTCTGCCTCACTGTTCTTTAAAAATGTCTGGGTATCAGACAAATTTCTCTGTTCTTATAGAAATTACTGTCCAGCAAACAAACTTTAAACAAATACTTGAACAATAAAAGGAATGGCAGTCATGATACTGCTCCAAAGAAGAAGTCAGGTTGCTGTCAAGTTACTAGTAAATTACTTCTATCCAACAGGTCAACACTTAGTCAGGGGTGCGGTACATGGAAGTGAAAAGGGAGCTTGGTTAAGGGAGAAAGAGTTTGGCCATGTGCTTTGTGGAAGGTTACCTTACTACTATCTATTCTGTCCAGAAGTTCTCATCTGTTTTAATTAAAGAGTCATACCTCCCATAATAAATGGCAATATTCGAAAGGGTAATTTTTTTTAAAGATATTATTTATTTTTTTGACAGAGAGAAAAACAGTGAGAGAGGGAGAACAGGCTTCCTGCGGAGCAGGGAGCCCGATGAGGGGCTCAATCCCAAGACCCTGGGATCATGACCTGAGCCGAAGGCAGACGCTTAACGACTGAGCCACCCAGGTGCCCCAGAAAGGGTAATTTTAATGTGATAGTTGTACCTTTAGTTCAGTGGTTTTCTAATTTGGTGTGAGAATTTACCAAAGGGCAGAGCTTATTAAACATGCCAGTTCCAAGGCCTCCTTCTAGAGAGTCTGTTGGACCTAGGAGAATACATTTCTATCAAACACTCCAGATGACTCTGAGGTAGGCAGTCCATGATCCACAGTTCTGAAAAATACTGCTAGACACAGAAGGTGAAGGTGTTATATTGGTCTTTTTCCCTCAGCCTCCCAAGAAGGAATGCAACAGCTACCTTTAAAACCCTATTTTTTGTTTGAGATTTTATTTATTTATTTATTAGAGAGAGAGAGAGAGAGAGAGAGAGAGAACATGAGCAGAGGGGAGGGGCAGAGGGAGAAACAGACTCCCTGCTCAGCAGGGAGCCAGACTCGGGACTCGATCCCAGGACCCCGAGATCATGATGCAAGCCGAAGGCAGATGCTTAACTGACTGAGCCACCCAGGCGCCCCCAATTTTAAGGAAGTTAAACCCACCTCAGACCTTTGTAAAGGAATCTTGGTCTTTGTATTCTTCTTTGCCTCCTGCTTCTATGTACTTTCTTCCTCCTCATCCCTCTCCTGATCTTCTGAGGTATGTTTGAATTTTCTTGTTTGTAATTGCTTTTTGCCTAGATGATTCATGTTGTATTTTCTTACTTAGTCATGATTTTTGTTAAATTCTAGGTCCCAAAATATCACCCAAACAACTCATTGAGAACACAAAGCTGAATTTATTCTTACCATAGTAAGGGACAGTACTGCATTGACAACATCTTTGCATCTTAGAGAGAGGACAAATTTGGGGTATTTATGGGAGTTTTGAAGTCCAGTTTACGTCTGCACTTTCAGTGTCGGGGCTTGATTAGAACTGCGTAAGAGTTACTGTGGAATATTTAAAAACTGGTGGATTTTGAGGTGATGGGTTGAGTCTGGGGATTTAAACTATCATTTATGTTTTTTTTTAATTGAAGAATTTAAGGATCTTTCATGAAATTCTTGGAATGAACAAAAGAGTTATTTGCAACTTTTATTTTACTGCTTAAGAGTTTCCTGGAATAGCAAAGTTATATTGATGATTACAGTGGAATAATACAGTCCTATAAATGTAGACAATAAACTGTGTAGGTGAAGATGATTTTGGCTGTCACTATTTACAAACAAAACTAATTCTAATTATACACACTTTTAATTCATCTCTTTATTGGATTTACTGGCATAAATTAAAGCATAAATGCTTGTTCCTTAAAAGTCTCAAGATTTTTATATTTCCTGGGTTCTTTTATGCTTGTGAATGTTTGTTGCTTTTTCAATGTGGAAAACATTTTGGAGAGATATAATGTTCTTAGGAGACAGTTTCTTTCCCTCTGAAAGAAAAAAAAGTTTTCTAACATGTTTTCTATGTATATTTGGATAAAGAAGTTAGGGAGAAATAATTGATTAATAATAGTTTACATCCAAAGCACCTGGGTGGCTCAGTTGGTTAAGTATCCGACTCCTGGATTCAGCTCAGTTCATGAGCTCAGGGTTGTGAGATCGAGCCCTGTGTCAGGCTCCACAATGGATGTGAAACCTGCTTAAGATTCTCTCTCTGCCTCTCCTCCCTCTTTCTCTCTCTCTAAAAAAATAATAGATTACATCCACTCTCTTTTATATTAAAATTTTTTTATTATTATTTTAAAAATATTTATTTATTTTTGAGAAAGGTCTATGCCTTAGGTGAGGCTTGAACTCATGACCGTGAGATCAAGAGTGGCATGCTCTACTGACTGAGCCAGTCAGTCACCCTTATATTAAAATTTAAAATTTAATTTCATATAATTTTAAAGGAAGAAAAATGGATGAAACTGAACAACTGCTAAATTTAAGTGAATGTTTATTCATGAAGATATATTACTTTGTAAAGAATCCTGCAGAGTTTAACAATAAAAGGTTATGAGAAAACTAGGCCCTGGGGTGCCTGGGTGGCTCAGTCGGTTAAAGTGTCTGCCTTCAGCTCAGGTCATGATCTCAGGGTCTTGGGATCGAGTCCTGCATGGGGTTCTCTGCTCAGCAGGAGCCTGGTTCTTCCTCAGCCTGCTGCTCCCCCTGCTTGTGCTCTCTCTCTGTCAAATAAATAAATAAAATCTTAAAAAAACAAAAGAAAAAACTAGGCCATTGGAGCCATTTGTTCCATGATGTATTTTTTCAATGTTATTTATTATTTTGCTAATATATAAATAAGAATATTTGTACTTTTCAATTTTCCTCCCTCTTGCTGATTTTCTAGGTAAGTTGTCATTTTCATGTTTTCAGGCTTATGATATCTTAGTGTTGTTTGGGGACCACAGGTGTTGCCATCAGCTGTTTCACCACAACTTCCCTATTTAAGAATACCTTTATTTTGATTCATCTCTTGGCTGGTTGGATTTCACTGTCAAATAGATTTTTTGTCCAAAAAATGTCATGTAGATATTGTGATCCTGAGATATATATATATATATAGATATAGATATAGATAGGCATATATCTATTTATATAGGTATAGATATAAAATATATAATATTTAAAATAAGGAATTGTCTCATATGATTGTGGAAGCTGAGAAATCCGAAGATCTGCAGCTGGAGACCCAAGAAAGCTGGTGGTGTAGTTCCAGTTCGAGCCCAAAGGTCTGAGAACCAAAAGAGCGAATGGTATAATTTTCAGTCTAAGTCTGAAGGTCTGGGAAAACCAGCTGGTGTAAGTTCTAGTCCTAGGACAGGAGAAAGCTGATGTCCCAGTTCAACAGTTAGGCAGGAAAAGTTCCCTCTTATTCTGTCTTTTTGTTCTATTCAGGTCTTCAACTGACTGGATAAAGTCCATCCATATTAGGGAGAACAATTTGCTTACTTGGTTTACTGATTCAAATGTTACTCTCAACCAGAAACACCCTCACAGACAAATCCAGAATAAGATTTGACCAAATATCTGGAAACCCCATGGCCTAGTTAAATTGACACATAAAATTAACCATCAAATGTGTCTTCTCCTTTGGGTAAGTAGAGTATTATTCCCTTGTCTTTGAAATTCAATAAATTAACTAGGTTGTATTAATTATTCTATGTCCATTTTCACTTAAACAATTTCATCAAATAGTCCCCAGAAGCCATTACCACTTATCCCATCCCCACCCTGTGACAGTCAGCAAAAAGAAAAAGTATATAGGAAACTCTCTTGTCGACAAGAAAGACATATTAATATTTGTTGAAATGAGAGATATGCAAAATGTGCAATTCCATAATTCTGTAATTTATTTAACAAGTAGTGTCTGCTATCCATTTGCTAGACCCTTTTTTAAAAAGATTTATTTATTTACTTAAGTAATCTCTGCACTCAACGTGGGGCTCAAAGTCATGACCCCACCAAGATCAAGAGTTGCATACTCTACCAACCCAGTCAGGCGCCCCTGCTAGATTCTTTTCTAGGTGAATTTGGCAGATAAAGTCTCTGCTCTCAAGTTGCATCTAAATTTATTGTATGATCCATAGTTAACTGCTCACATTTTCCATATCATGGCTATCAGGTATGTTTAGTGCTCATCTGTCTTATTCATGGGTACCATTATCTTTTCATGTACTGCAGAAATTTTCTTGTTATGTCCCACCGTCTAATGGAAGATTCAGGATGCAGATTAGCGGACATCCTTGCCACCACCACAGGCATGTGACGTTGGCTTTAGCGATCATATGTAGCAGTGTGGGACTTTGATGTGGGAATTAGAGACGAGGAAAGAGTGGCTTAAAATAACAACCATTCAAATGTTTCTCATAATTCTGTCAAGAATTTGGGCAAGGCACAATAGCGATGATTTGTCTCAGCTCCACAAAGTCTGGGGCCCCATCTGGGGTGCCTGGAATATTGAGGACAGCTTCTTCACTCATGTTTCTGGCACTTGATGCTTCTTCATATGGCTTTTGCTCCATGTTGCATCTCATCCTCAGGGCCACTCCACGAGGCCTCTTCCTCTAGTTACTTAACCCCCTCGAATGCCAGCTTAAGGGCCAAAGAGCATGAAGCAGAAGCTGTCAGATATTCTTAAAGCCTAAACTAGGAGGTTCTAGACCATTTGCTCTATGTTCTAGAGGTAAAATAGTTTTTCTTTGAATGCATTTAATTTGTAAATGGTTCGGACTTTGAAAATGCAACTTAAAAGAATCATAAGGCGATGTGTTGATTTTTCTTCCCAATTTCTCCTCAGTTTTAGGCAATCAATAGAAGAGTAACATTAGAGCAGTCTTGCTTATCTTTCACTGTTAATGTTAGATACGAAAATATTCATAGTTTGGAAACTATTGTAGATTTAAGTGTAGATTTCTTCTGAAACCAAAAGGTCATTCAAAAGTCATTGTGAAAGGTACTATAAGAAGAGTACAATATGGTGGTTAAGAGAGCAATTTTTGGAACTTGACTGCCAATTTCAAATCCAGCTTCACTTCTTATTGGCTGCATGATGTGGAACATGTTACTTAGCCCATCTGTGCCCCAAGTTCCCCAAATGTAAGATGGAGATGTTAACAGTTCCTCCCTTACAGAGTGACTTTGAAGGTTAAATGAATGCATACATGCAAAGTCCTTACAATAACTAGCCTCTACTAAGTGCTCATCAATTTTAGCTGTTATTATTATTATTATATAAAATTATCAATTCAGTAGAATATGGCAAAGGAGAAAAAGTGAAAACAAAAAAGAAAATAGTAAAACTATGACCAGTGTGATAGTATATATGAAGATTCAATAAATGTGTATGGATTAATCTTCACTATTAAAAGACAGATAATTAGATTGGATAAACATTACAAAATCTCTCTATGTGATGTATCCAAGAGCCAAATCTGAAATTAAGCCACACAGAAAGATAAAAAAATAAAAAGTTGATTAAAATACATATCAGGAAATCTATAATCAAAAGAAAGCTGGCAAAACAAAAAGAGTACAAAGTAGAAACCAAGGCAAAAAGCATTAGTAGAGGTAAAGATTACTACATAATAAAAAGGGAAGAATTTAGTACGAAGATAGAAAAATTATGAACTCCTGTGTACACAGTATTTTCTCAAAGTATAAAACTGACACAATCATAAAATAAATTCGACAAATTCACAAACACATTGGGAGACTTTTAATAAACCTTTATTAGGAATTGATAGATCAAGTAGATAAAAATGTAATGATTTTGAACAAAACTCATAGCTTGGTCTGTACCCCAAAATAGAAAATATACATTCTTTTTGAGGATAAATGAAACAATAATAAACATTGGCCAGGTATTAGTTCTCAAAAGAAGTTCTAGTGAAGGTTGGAGCATGTCCTCTGAGCACAGTCCATTAAATTAGAAGCCATGAATAAAAAATTATTTAGAAAAACTCCATAGATTTATAAACTGAAAAATCAATACTGCATAAAAGATAAAGGGGAAATCAAAATGAAAATTACAATCTATTTAGAATTGAATGACAATAAAAGTTTTACTCATCAAAGTTGCTAAGAAAAGTACATGAAAGTTCATTTATAGCTCATTCTGAAAATGATTCAAATTATTTAAACAAGGGCTTGGAAAGCTAAAGAAAATTGATGAAAGGAAAGAAGAAAGATAAAAGAAATGAAGTAAGAAACAGAAACAAAGGATCAAGAAAAACAAAACGGGTTCTTTATTAAGATTTTGGCTGTATTTTGGTATATGTGAAATGTTCTCTTGATTGCTCTCTCATAGAGACAAGGACGGAAGAGATGTGCATTCAAAGAAGAGAATTTTAGAATTTTTCAATGAACTTTAGGTCTCTGTTGACATGTTATTTAATCACACAGATATATTCCTTACCTTACTTTCTTTTTTAAAAAATTTTTTATTGTTATGTTAATCACCATACATTACATCATTAGTTTTTGATGTAGTGTTCCATGATCCATGGTTTGTGCATAACACCCAGCGCTCCACACAGAATGTGCCCTCTTTAATACCCATCACCAGGCTAATCCATCCCCCCACCCCCCCCCTCCAGAACCCTCAGTTTGTTTTTCAGAGTCCATCGTCTCTAATGGGTCGTCTCCCCCTCTGACTTACTCCCCTTCATTCTTCCCCTCATGCTATCTTCTTCTTCTTCTTTTTTCCTTTACATATATTGCATTATTTGTTTCAGAAGTACAGAAGAGTGATGCAACAGTCCTCTACAATACACAGCGCTCACCATAACACATACCCACCCCAATGTCTATCACCGAGCCACCCAATCCCTCCCACACCCCACCACTCCAGCAACCCTCAGTTTGTTTCCTCAGATTAAGAATTCCTCATATCAGTGAGGTCATATGATACATGTCTTTCTTTGATTGACTTATTTCACTCAGCATAACACCCTCCAGTTCCATCCATGTCGTTGCAAATGGCAAGATCTCATTCCTTTTGATGGCTGCATTTTATTCCTTTGTGTATATATACCACATCTTCTTTATCCATTCATCTGTCGATGGACATCTTGACTCTTTCCACAGTTTGGCTATTGTGGACATTGCTGCTATAAACATTGGGGTGCACGTACCCCTTCGGATCCCTACATTTGTAACTTTGTGGTAAATACCCAGTAGTGCAATTGTTGGATCGTATGGTAGCTCTATTTTCAACTGTTTGAGGAACCTCCATAATGTTTTCCAGAGGGGTTGCACCAGCTTGCATTCCCACCAACAGTGTAAGAGGGTTCCCCTTTCTCCTATTCCCTGCCAACAGCTGTCGTTTCCTGATTCGTTAATTTTAGCCATTCTGACTGGTGTGAGGTGGTATCTCATTGAGGTTTTGATTTGGATTTCCCTGATGCCGAGCCATGTTGAGCACTTTTTCATGTGTCTGTTGGCCATTTGGATGTCTTCTTTGGAAAAATGTCTGTTCATGTCTTCTGCCCATTTCTTGATTGGATTGTTTGTTCTTTGGGTGTTGAGTTTGATAAGTTCTTTATAGATTTTGGATCCTAGCCCTTTATCTGATATGTCATTTGCAACTATTTTCTCCCATTCTGTCCGTTGTCTTTTGGTTTTGTGGACTGTTGCTTTTGCTGTGCAAAAGTTTTTTATCTTGATGAAATCCCAATAGTTCATTTTTGCCCATGCTTCCCATGCCTTTGGCGATGTTTCTAGGAAGAAGTTGCTGTGGCTGAGGTCGAAGAGGTTACCTGTGTTCTCCTTTAGGATTTTGATGGACTCCTGTCTCA